TACTCACTCACTCTCTTATTTCTTCTTCTGTAATTAGTTAAGTAACAATCTCTCTCTCTCTCTCTCTCTCTCTCTCTCTCACACACACACACACACAAACACACACACACACACATACACACGCAGGTACAACAACAAGTTTGACGCACTTTTTTTTTTTAAATATGAACAACTTTGATGCACTTGCTATTGCGAATCTCCTCTCTCTCTAACTACCAAAAAATTGCCCCCCCTCTTCCAAATCTCGAAATTGCCCTATTTTTCTGGTTGTTTAGAAATTTAACTAAAACTTTAATGGTGGAAGAAGATGATCGGGAGTTGGAGAAATATTTGGAGCTCCGACTAATGGAACAAAAGTTGTCACCATGGGCCATAGCATGTTTGTTTCGTGGACGTTGCGGCTTCCACAAATTGTAGCACTCCAACGTTAGTAGATGAGCCGTTTGGAAGCTGCTTCCAGCCCCCTAAAAAAAGACATAAATTGACATTGTTTTTTTTGGTTGCCGCAAATTCCATGGTAACCCATGGAAGCAGCGGCTTCCAGACTTTGTGGAAGAGGGGCCTTTGATAGTCCCCTCTTCCAAAGCCCCCTTTTCCAAAAACAAAAACAAAGGCATGTTTGTTTCGTGGAAGACACTGTTTCCACGAACTGCAGCACTCATGAGTTTGTTACGAAGGAGTGGAAAAGGTATTTGGAAGCCGCTGCTTCCAACAACTTTAGAAAACAACATCAATTGACGTTGTTTTGTAGAGGCCGCCAATTTCATACCCATGGAAGAAGTGGCTTCTAGACTTTGCAGAAGAGGGGGCAGCCCCTTCTTCCATGAAATAAACACACCCTAAATGATGCCAAAGCTTCACTTGGCGAATGGCCTGCAACTTCCATTTATTTTATTGTTTCTCTTTTTTTTCCTATATTTGATTTTTTAGTTGTTTTTTAAGACCTCTAGAAGCAATGGCTTCCAAATAACTCTTCCACTCGTGTAACAAATGAGTGCTACATTACATGGAAGATGCAATTTCCACGAAACAAACACAACTTCGTTTTTGTTTTGTTGAAGATGAGGCTTGCTAAAGCCCCCTCTTTTACAACGTTTGGAAGCCATTCCATGGGTTACCATGGAATTGGCATCCTCCAAAAAACCAAGTCAATCGACGACGTTTCTTGAGGCGGTTGGAAGCAACAACTTCCAAATAGCTCTTCCACTCCCGCATAACAAAGGGGGAGTGCTACAGTTTGTGGAAGCTGCAGTTTTTTAAGTGACCTAGATGAATATAAGTGGGCCCAATCCACATTCTCCCACAATGTCCAACTGTCATGCATTTAGTTCCCAGTTTTCAACCTCGTGTGCCTTTTCATTGATTTAATTGGTGGCTTCTTTTGGAATGGAACAATACATGAAGAAGCTAGTGAGAAGAATACAATACATAACATTAACAGTTTGAACTGACAAAAACATAAAGGAAAATGTTTACATAAGGCCACATCCCATCTACAATAAGTAAGGCTGAGGCCTTTTTAATGTTCAAAATACTTGGATGGTGCACATTTTTACACATTAGTTGATGAGGAAACTGGGCAATAGAGGCCCAGTTTCCTTCTCATATTTTCCCCCAAAATCTCCTCCTTGCCTCTCTCTTTCTCTTCTCTCTCTCTCCTATCTCTCCTTTATCAAATTAGGTTTTCTCTTCTCTATCCTTCATCAACTACAGAGAATCCATGATGTCCCTCACTGTTTTTTGTCTTATCCTCACCCAAAATCCTTTCCAAGCAAAAATGACATCATTCCTCTCTCGCCTCAACAAATCGTTCAAAACTATGCATTGTTAAATTCTCCACCAAACCCCACGAGCAGAATAGTAGAGAAAGCTCTGTGAATCATCGAAGGACTAGAGCAAAACCAAAAGGAAGCAAATTCACTCAAACCCACTCAAGTGTCTAGCCTAAAAAAACTGTTGTGTCCATGAAATAGGGAATCAAGGTTTCAACATAGGTTTCCCTCTTGAAGTTTGTCTTTTCATATTGCTATTGTGTGGGATGGTGCGTTTCCCTCTTAAGACTTGTGAAGTTGAGATTTGGTGGGGTGCTTTCTCTGATATGTGTGAAGTCGGGGTTTGACTATTTGATGCTTTGACGATTTCTTCTCTCTAAATTTGGGTTAGTGTGGAGTTTAGGAGGAGAACAAATTCAATAAGAATAGGATTTTTGGGGGCCTTAGACGGATGTGGAAAATTGTTAAGCATTTGTTGGAGGAAGAGTTTGTGAAGAAGGATTCGGGGTGGGCTGAGGAATTGGAGATCACGGTGAAGAGTAGGTAAATGGGATCCAGGCATTGAGCTCCTTTGAGTTTCAATATTTGTGGGAGGTGTACTTGCCATTGACGATCCAACAAAAGTATTTGTCAGAGGTGTATTTACCATTGCGGATCCAACAAAATCACTAGCTGTCAGTTAGTGTCGAGTTAAAAGTTCCTTGTATGCTTTTGCCTGACTTTCACCATGGATTTTTCACCCCTTCTCTTACTGTCTATTTTCTTCGAATTCATTTTCATGCCAGATTTTTCTTTTTTCTTTTTCTTTTTCTTTTTTGGGGGCGAGTCAGTGGGGAGAGGGCCCCTACCCTTGGTTGGAATTGAGCCTAGGACGTAGCGTTGCAAATTGTCAAGCGCTAACCAATTAAGCCCGGGCTCTTTTCCTGATTTTTTTCATAGATTTTTCTGTGTTATTGTAAACTAAATTAATGGAGATCTTTTTAGCCTGAACAATCCGCCTTCAAAGCATGAGGTTCCCTTCTTTTTGCACAGATAGTTCTCAAATTTTGTTTCAGATCAATGAATGGAGTCCCATCTAGTGAGTGAGGTGTCAAAGTTTTGTTAATAAATTGAAAGTCTGCACTCCAATGGACAGTTTTTCTCTTCCTAGCTCTTCCTCATCAAAATAGAAGAGAGGAGAAAAAGAGAAGAGACGATTTGATGCAAGGAGAAAGAAGGGAAGAGAGCGAGTCAAAATACTGGAGAGCACAGGGGCACTAGGAAGCTTAGGTTTTCTTTCAATTCGGGTGCCAAATGTGCACCATCCAAATAAATGGATGGTGTTGATGGTTGCAGCTCTGCTTCAATAAGTGGCTGCAGCCTTATAGAAACAGCATCCAAACATAAATAAAGCATGCTATATCAACTTCAAGCATTTGGAATGTATATGTACCACCCTTGTCCATATTTCGTTAGAGATATGATTCTTGTGCTTGGTCAAGAGCTTGGGGTCCTCTGGACCTCCTTGAAAGCCTCCATTCGGCAATTGATTTGCCATATTCCCTGAAAGCCAACTGTACAAATGCATCACATGATATTTGCAATATTGTGCAGTATAAGACTGTCGATTATTAATGCAATTGGCATGAATCACATCAGTTTTTTGTTTTATAATTCAACAAAACAAGGCATTCAACAAAAGGTCATGTGATGCAATTAAAAGTACTGAGAATTGCAACATCTTTGTAAACCATAATAATTCCCTATAAAAAAGGAAAGACGTAATAATACACAAGGGGAACAAAACTATACAAACTGCAATAGCTTTAAGCTACTGGAGGATGGATCATAAGAAGCGAGCACAAATGCTTGTTACCAGGCACAATGCCATAAAAATAGATAATAAAGTCTTTATAAGTAAAACTGAAAGACACGATGAATTTTCTCACTCATGCATAATGAAATGGGAAAGCAACGGAAATGGCACATTGGAATAAAAACATATAACTCATTACAAATACCATTATCTTATAAAGCTCAAATTAGTTAACCCAGATCATGAAATTTACAAGTAAAGACTAACTTATATGTTAGTTTAGGGGTAATAAAACAGACAAATTCCCTCATGATCAGCAGATAAGATTCCCCATGTGAAAGCTATATTTGCCATGATCCAAATAATAGAACAAAAGGATGTGGTTTTTCTCACCACACCAAGTCCAATCCCCATTTAAAGAAAAATCAAATTCATTATTTCGAAGGAAGGGCAACAAAGGAAAGAATTCACAAATTCAAAACATAAGAACCAATAAATAGCAAGAGATAGACAATTAAAGGGGGAGAGAGAGAGAGGCTAAAATAAGGATTCAGAGAGAGATAAAGTGAAAAAGTAAAAGAAAGCAATCACCTAATAACAACCCCAACAAAACCCCGCCTTTGAAGGTCCAGCCCATGTACATAGTGGAACATGTTTAAGCATCCCATGAAGAGAATTGTGTATGCTTATTCAACAAGCATTTATCTATTGACGGTTTAGAAAACTAGTCCACATACTTAAACAATTTTTTAGGCTCCCGGAGAACATCAAGAAGAAATATTGTTGTCTATTCAACAAAAAAAAAAATTGCACAACAAATGTTCTCAAAATAGTAAAAAATCTATCTAAGATGCCGACTACATCAATGGAAAGATCATAAGTTTTATATGTGCTGGCTTCTTTGTAGGGGTAATCAAGACCATGTCCACACAAACAATGGTTAGGGCATTATATACCGCATGCCCCTGTTGAGCCAAGAGCATAGTTTCACAGTTCGTAAGAAGAAAGGAATGATTACTCAACAATTCAAACACCATAAATTGAATCTAAATAAACTATTTGGGCATTTATCACATCTAGTTGACTGCCAATGAATTCATCCCATAAACTACATAGAATACTGTATTAAACAAAAAACCCAAATTTTGTAACCAAGGAACACTTAGGAAAATAGAAATAAAATATTTCAGAATTTTGAACCTAACAGCATTCCATTACTTTCTTACCAGTGCCCAAAATCCCCATTTTAATGAAAGATGCCCGTAAAGCTCTATTTTGAAATAGAACATGTCACTGTTTATAAAGAAGCAATACTCAACCAACCACATTTTGCATTACATTTTTGGGTTCAGACATTAATGGCTTTGAGGAAATTGCTTCAAAAAAGGGGATAAAGAGAAAAACCCAGTTAAAAAATATATAATACAAAAAAATTGCTTAGACAAAGCCAACAGAGATAATTTCCAAAATAAGGCGAGAATTATATATTGAAGCTCTTAAAACCGGATGAGGTGCCAAAAAAAAGAAACCCAGAATAATTATTGGAAAAAATAAAAAACATAAAAATCACATAATGAATCCACTAAAAATCAGGTATGGAAAGAGAAAAAGAAGCCTCTTTGAGATTAAGCAAACCCATAAAATAGGCTTTACCATTTAAGCATTAAGATAGAGAGGGAGAAGGTGGGAGGCAGGGAGAGAGAGTATACCTGGTCTGGAGTTGAAGGCAGCTTCCTCAAATCCTCGCCTACAGCTTTTAGAGCTCAAACAGGAGAGAGAGAGAGAGAGAGAGAGAGAGAGAATGGAACTTTGGTTTTTGTGAGAGGGTTTTGTGGTATTTTAGAGCGAGAGACAGAGAAATGAGAAAGGTTTGAGAGAGAGAGGGCCTCGTGGAAAGAGGGAGATTGAGCGACAGAGGTATGATTTAAGCGACGTTTAGAGCTATGAAGTTAGAAAAGGGGGTTAGTACGGTGATCTTGATGGTGAAATATGTTATTTGAGTATTAAAAATCTTTTAAGCAAGTTTTAGAGCTATGAACTCAGAAAGGGTTGCAAGGTGCATCTTGAAATTGCGTTGAAATATGGTATTTGAGTGTTAAAAATCTTTTTCGTTGGCCTGAAATTTTATTTTTATCTTTAATTGTAAAATTTGAAGCTTCATATTTTCTTTGAGGTCGTGATCATTTAAAGATTTTTGGGCATAAAAAACAACCTGTTCTAGTGAATTTTTTATGGGTAAACTTTTTCACTCAAAAAAATGACATTCAAACATAATATGTTCGTAATATATATATAAACAATGATCCAATGCAACGGTTGTATCAAACTATAATGCAACGGTACTTCTAAAAAAACCATGTTTGTAATAATTGTATAACCTCAAATTCTGCACACACACTCTCTTCATCTCAATAATCAATCTCAAAAAAAAAAAATGCAATTTGAACCCTAGATAGGGTCAAAATGAGTCCCCCTCCAAAAACGAATCTAGACCATTCATTTTGTAAATTTCAAGATCTTAGCCTTTATAAACTCAAAATCATTTTTCTTTTTTAACATTGTTCATCTAATGATAATAAAGCAATCC